GGGCGCCCTGGTGTCCCGGTGCGGCCGCCGCGCCTTGCTTGTGCCGGGCTGGTGCCGCGCTGAGCCGCATCGGCGCGGGCCGCGAGCAAACCCGGGGAGTGTGGGGCGGCTCCCTAGTGCGCCTTGCCCCCCAACCCATGCGGAGATGCCGCCCGCCCTCGTGGTGGGGGGGGCTCCCGGGCGCCGAGCCTGTTAGCTGCCCACTGGGATGTGAAGGTTCGCGCTCCCCGCCTTCTAACTCCTTGCCCCACGTGTGCCCAGGTAACCATGTGTGATCGAAAGGCTGTGATCAAGAATGCGGACATGTCCGAGGAGATGCAGCAGGATTCGGTGGAGTGCGCCACGCAGGCCCTGGAGAAATACAACATTGAGAAAGACATTGCAGCTCATATAAAGAAGGTAAATGGCTTGTCTGAATGCATTTTTCTCCCTCTTCTGCCTCGGATGAATGCTTGAAGATCCTCTAGTATAGTGGTTCTTAACCTCTTTTGTACCAGGACTCATTTGTAAGAATCAGTGGCCAGTCCTGACCCAGTGCCCCTCACTCCTGCCCCCAGGTACCAGCCCTCAGTGTGTCGGGCAGGGGTAAGGGGGGCCCCAAGAAAAAGCCAGTTTCCCAGGTTTTTCTCCTTTAAGAGAGTATCAAGTTTTTTGTTTTTGTTTTTGTTTTTTTTTAAAGTTTGCTCATGATCCTTTCCTACATTCTTGTGACCCACTTCTGGGTTGTGACCTATAGGCTGAGAAATGCTGGACTAACGCAAGGATAGGCAACCAGTGGCACAGGCACCAGACCGTGGCACGCAAAGGCATTTTCTTGGCATGTGTGCCTTGGGGCAGGTGTTGGGGAAGGGGCAGGGACTGCTACAAGAGTCTGGCCCCTCACAGGCTTCCTGCTGTCTACCTCTAGCCAGCCAACACCACTTTTTAAAGTTGTATACAATTTTGGTACTTGGCCCCAAAACATTGCTGATCTCTGATCTAGTGTGAGAACCCTGGAAAGGAGGGGCTGGGGCTGAAGTCTTTGCAGCTTGACTTGTCTGAAGCTGTTCCTATGAAGAGATTTATTTTTATTTTATCAGTTTTCAGCCAAGAGCTGTACGCTGCCTAGCAACTGTTTCTGGGTTTGGTAAATTTTTCACCCTCTGCTGTTCTTCATAGCTTAGCAACTACAGTTTGTAGAGGCTTTTGAGACCATCAGTCTGAGGTGACAATGAGAGAAGCTGGTCTGCTAGAATAGTGAGACCACTCAAAGCAGTCATTTAACATGACAACCAACACAGGGTAAACAACCACCTAAAATTAAGTGGTTCCTATTCCTTGCTATTCTAAAAGGAATGGCAAAACCCTTCTAGAAAACTTGATTGTAGAAATGAGTGTAGGTTTTCTCCCCTATACACTGGGAATGTTACCACTTTGGCTTACTACAAAGTAAGTGTCTACAAAACTTCAATTTTGGGGGGTTTTTTTGTTTTTTTTCCCCTCTGCTTTGTAGCTTTTTAAACATCTTGGTTTTCCAGAGGAATAGCAAGGATTTGTATATACCAATTCAGAAACCACACAAGTTACAAGTTGTAGTTGCTTATGTACGTGGGTAGAGGGTTGTCTTGAACTAGTGGGGGAGACAGACTTTTTGGCAGGCATGCCACAAATTAACCCTACACCCTCTCCAAGTCCCACTCTGGTCCTCTTTTGTTGACCAAATGGCTGCTGTTTCCTAAGAGGCTTTTTTCTTTTCCTGCTTCCCACTTCATCTGATGCTGTACTGCCTGTGAGCCACACAGGCTGGCTGTGCCTCTTGTGACACCCATGGCACAGAGTGGCCACCCCTGTCTTAAAGTTTTGCAAATAGAGAAGCAACAGCCAAAAGGTCTTGTAGTAATCCAGTGTAGGGGTGCACTGATGAAGACTTTTTTGACCAATACTTATGGCCGACTTATTAACCAGAATTGGCCAATACCAATTTGACTGCTGATTTTTATGCAGCCCGGCAGCTTGGAGAGCTGTGTCTGGTCAGTTAGTCAAGGGGTTGGGGGGGAGGGGTAGATTGAGGCTCCCACAGTGAGTGGGAGGGGAGCTAAGACAGGGGCAGGTGCTGCCCAGCCAGGGCAGGATGGAACTGCATGTGGCTTATTTGGTGGGGGTGGCTCCCTGGTGTGTACACTTCCCCTGGGGGAGGCATGGGGGGCATGAGCCCCTAGGATTTGTGCATGGGTGGGCTGCCTGCTGAGAGCTGGATGCAGCTTGCCAGGCTGCATTCCACGTGCACGGTGCAGCTGCACACATCTATCAGTGACATTATTGGCCACATCATCCAAAAAAAGCCAATTTGCTGATATCAGTTTTCCTCTTATTGGTGGTGATTTATGATAGGGACTGGTATTGGTTACACTGAATTAGAGGTGCATCAATATAACACACTTGCAATGGAAGAGCCATGCTTGGGGCAAGCTTGCTATCAAACTTTTTAGGTTTTGCTAGCCAAAATACATGAAACATCCAGTTTGTATACAAATTTGGACTATTAAGTGACGTGAGAGACTTTGCTTTTAATTGGAATGAGTGAGACTTGACTGTTTACAAAATAACTCAGTAAGACACACCTATGCTTCCACTGCAAATGAGTGCCATTCTGAATATCAATTTTGTGATCTAGCAAAGTATCTTTTCCATAGTTAAACCCTCTGCTTTGTAGTTTTTTGTTTTTCTTTTTTTAAACATCTTGGTTTTCCAGAGGAATAGCAAGGATTTGTATATACTAATTCAGAAACCACACAAATCAGAAGCACCCTGCTCATCTGATTACCCTTCTGGGTGAAAGGGTAGCTTTGGTGGATGGAAAATAATTCTTTTGCCTCCCCTCTTACAGCATTACCTCTTAGAACAGGACCTTTTTAACTTGTGTAGAACTCTACACTTTCTGCCCCCCTTGCCATAAGTCCTACAAGAGCAGAAAAAAGTATGCACTGTTTTATTTTTATTTTTTTAATTCCCTCAATTTAGAACATGACCAAATTTTAAGTTAATACAAACGCACATTTTGCTGAGGAAAAAGATCCTTGGCAAATCCAAAAGTCTCTAGGCAGATGGATTAAGCAGCTAATTCTTCTGATACTAAACTGCAAGTGCCTTTTTTTCAGGAGTTTGACAAGAAATACAACCCCACCTGGCACTGTATTGTGGGAAGAAACTTCGGCAGCTATGTGACTCATGAAACTAAACACTTCATCTACTTCTACCTGGGCCAAGTTGCTATTCTCCTCTTCAAATCTGGTTAGACATGGACTGTACTATCCAAGCTTGCATCCAGTTAAGGACTGCATGCTAATTCCAAATAGAGACTGAAATCTTCAGCCTTCCCCAGGGAACACACTTTGATCAAGCCTCTTGTATTGTTAATGGACAGGGATGTTGCTGTACCAGTTTGTGTTTTCATTGCCACTATAAAAACAAAAAAAAAAAAAGCCAAAGTCTTCGTTGTATTTTATTTGCTTTCAAAAGCTTGTTTCTTTTTTTTCTAGTAAAAAGGTGGAGTTCATTCAGTTGAGTTTATTCCAGCAGTTTTACAGCCATCTAGCCCTCTTATTCCTTTATCATCTTTTGCAATAATACTCACTCTAGAAACAAGTGAAGTACTTTGTGAAGCAAGCTTCGCTTCTTTTAACTATTCAAAGTTTGCTCTCAGGCTGGGGGGAGAGAGCATAAATAAAAGTGCAGCTCTAGTTTCAGTGAACTTAGCCCTGTCCATCCTAGTTTGTACTGCTTTTTTCCTAGTACCTACCAGTTCCTACCTTTTGGGCAATGAAATAATAGCTAACTAGTTTCATTGTTTCTAGATGAGCTGTTTTCTTTCATGGAACTTAATGTTCTCTGCTGTTAGAATGATAAGCCTTTAACTTTTCTCATTTAAGAAATTGATGCTGTATACCTACAAGTTACTGACTACAGAGATCTCTGTATTGTACATAGGACTTAGAATATTTTAAGTATGAGCCCTGACAGTAGCTGCAGCAGGCCAAGTACTACATAATCAGTGAAGACCACTTAAATAAAGCACATTGATTCTGGTTTTATATAGACCAAATTTCTGTACTTCTAATTGTTATAAACTTTTGACAGAAGCTTACAAAAATAACTTTATACTCGGTGTTAAGCCAGCTAGCTCTTGACTGTTGCAGATAAATAGGTATTTTATGCTATTTACAAAAAATAAGAATATAATCAGTATACTGCTGCCTTTCACAGGAACTAA